TGGACACCCACGAAGCTTCCGGTAGGTATTTTTCGAGCTTTTCATGTTCCCGACGACCGCTACTTCATATTCGGTCCACTTTACGACCATCGGAGCTTCATACTTGGTAGTGTCTTCTCTATCCTACCTCCGGCAACCGTTTTTCTTGATTATTTCCATGGTACATCGGCTTGACCTATCTTTGACTTTTAATTTTGGTGTCGACCTTTGGATTACTACTCTTGCCGGAGTGGTCGTGTGGGTGATTGGAGTTGGGCTCGTGAGTGATTGGCACGTCTTATCGGGCGTGCTGAGTATTGTGTATTCGTTGCCGGGTGTTTTTGGATTGGAGGATGGAGTTTACGGCAAGCGCCGGGAATCATTTCATTGGTGAACAAATGAGGTGTTGGCCATGAGATGTTATGGGGAGGATCATACTTGTCCCGTGGCCCGATTTTTGAACTTCCAAGCATATATGTATCTTCGTCGAGTTTATGAATTCACGGTTATTATCTCTCCGAGATGCATACATATGGCCATTACGTGGAGTCATTCGGATGGCTTCATTTTGAGCTCGATGGCTTTCGGATTATTTTCTCTATTCCCACCAGACGACCACCATTAGACACACGGTGATGGCACCACCGTGTAGAGTACGCATTTTCTTTTCTTATTTTCTTTTCTTTTTAATTAGTTGTTTCTTGTGTGTTCTTGTATGTTCTTGTGTTTGTTTTCTTTTCGTGTGTTCGTTTTACTTTTCGCATGAACTTGTATGATTATGTGCTCGATTCTATGCTTTTTGGTCAAGCAATGAGGACATTGCTTTGTTTTAAGTATGGGGGAGATATTTTCATGATTATGCATGTTTAGGTGATATTTTCTTTGTTTTTTGTGCTTTATTTTTCGTGTTTTTCGTGTCTTGGACCGGTTTTATTTGAGTTTTTGTGTGTTGATGTCGCCTCTCCCGCATGAAGCTTGATGTTTGTTCAAGAATCGAAATAGCTAAGTGGTGAGTCGAGATTGTTGCTTGGTTCCACTATTAACGTTCATGTTTTATGTACTTGATGAATTGGACGGTGTCCTAAAATTGAATGATAATTCGTTGACATTGGAACTCGCGTGTGGATTAACGGAATTGTTTTGTCCTTTGTTTGTTCTCGATTGGTTGTCTTGAGGCATGCTTTCCTTATGTTCGATTATCGTTGTAAACGTGTTATCTATACACTTGTGGTACATTTCGATTGAGTTAAGATGATTATGTATTGTAATTGTGATGTATCCTTGTGTGCCTCTCCCTAAAAAAAAAAGAAAAAAAAAAAGAATAAAAAGTGAGTTCGCGAGGAAGTACGGATTAGGCTCATCTTATTCCGAGTCATTCGTGGATTGGGATAATGAGCCCGAGAGACCGGTCTAGGAAACTCGAGGAAATCCCTCGAGGTTAAACCTAGGGAATCTCGTTCGGAAACCTCGTTTGGAAAGAGAAGCTCACGAAATGAGTTCGTGAGAGTTGAAAGGATTAGGCTCCTCTTGACTCGGTTAGTCTTCTAGATAAATCGGGTCAACGAGCATGCAAAACCGGCCTAGGCGACTCGGGGACAAACCCCGAGGTTAAACCTAGGTAATAATCGTCCCAACGGCTCTCATTTGGAAAAAGTAGCTCATTAATAAAAAAAAGAACTAAAAAAAAAGAAAAAAAAAAAAGAAGAATGGGAGTTGGCTTATTGGTTCATGGTTATTATGTTACATGTTTAGTGGACCATTTGTAGTTTTTGCACGTTCATGTAGAATAAGGGAGTTTTGTCTCGAGTTATCATATGTAGAATGACTTGGGACGGGTTTTTGTTTCGTTTGGATTCACTTGTGGGAACCGTGTTTTCGGATTGGATTTTGGTTTTATGGATATCCGGATGAAAATGAGAGTTTCATTTCGCATGCTCATTAATTTTGGACCGTTCGATTTTTCTTTTCGAGCTACTTGTTGTTTTGTTTGCTTGAGGACAAGCAAAGAGTTAAGTGTGGGGGAGTTGTTTGTTATGTTTTTGTGCTTATTTTTCTTGGGTTTTATGTGTGAGTCGAGTCATTTTTAGGTTCGATTTTGTGTCAACCGGTCCATTTTATTGTATTTTATGTGTTTTTATTTTTTGCTATGTGTTCTTATATTTTTTCGTGTTTTTCGCGTCACTTTTGGTGTGCTCTTTAGGTCCAACTTGCACGGTTGGGAAGATGAACTATTCTTCGAGACAATTCCGAGCCATCCGAGTAATTTTCGAGACACGAGGCTAGCCCAAGGACAACAAACTCAGAACCAAGAACTCGCGACGAATTGCCTTTCGCGCCGCGCCAAACGGACCACACAAAAGTCCAACACTCGCTGCGGATTTCAGCTAGCGACCCGCGAAGATGGCATGCGCACATGACCCCAAACACCGACACTCGCAGCGGCTTCCTTTTGGCGACCAGCGAAACCACGTGCGCGATGCACTACTCCAAGGCCGGCACTCGCAGCGAACGCTCCTTCGCGAGCTGCCAACCGCGCGCACTAGCCACATGGAGCACTCGCCAGCGAACGGAGACTCGCGCCCAGCGAAACACCACGCCCAACACTAGCCACATGGAGCACTCGCCAGCGAACCTTCTTTGGCGACCTGCGAAAGCTCATTTCCAGTTGATTTTCATGTCCAAACTCGCTGCGAACGCCGTTTCGAGACCCGCGAACTGCAAAATTTTATTAATTGTGTGTGTTTTTTATGTGTGTTTGTGGTGTAGCTATAAAAAGACATTGTGCTTTGTTATTTGGGACACAACCCTCATTTTCCCAACTTTTAAGTTGGGAATTCCTCTCTATTTTCTTTTTTCATTTTTCTTTTTTATATTTTGGTTTGGAGCATATGAATCAAGTTTTCCGGTGAATTCCGGCGACATTGTTTCGAGTAAAGTTTCGAGCTTTTAACTCCGTTTCTCCTTCCAAGTGCGTGTAAGAGTGGGTACTTAGTCTTAAGCCTCATTACTTCGTATATCTTTGTTTGCTTTCGTGAAAATTGATATTGTGCTTGTGTTGGT